TGTTTTGTTATGCTTTATATACTTACCAATCTGTGCTTGCATTCCGAACTAAGATGATGTGCAAAGTACCCTTTATACATTTGATTTCCGCAATAACATTGTACCACTTGAAAATTACATCTTTTTCTGTGATCCTAAACAGAGATAATATACAGACTGATTTTCAACTTAAAACTTTTATAATTGCCTCACTTCCCAGAATACCTTTTAGTTTGACATTTTATGTCATATGTTTTTTTAACCRGGAGAATTTACCTTACATAGCACTCAGTTGATGTATATGCATTCAGTAAATCTACTGTATTCTCTTGTCACCCTATCTATTGTATTAGGTGCGATTCATTGTATTTTTATGAATACATTACCGGTGGTTGATGCAGGGGAGGGGTGCAAGGGGTGGGCACCCCTCCCTGGTTTGACTTTGTGCCCCTACTTTGAAGATAACCAATACAAAATAATGTTTTCCCTTTTGATTCTAAGGGGTGCACCCCTCCCTGGGTTAACTTTGTGTGCAGTACCCCTCCCTGAACGAATTCCTGGATCTGCCCCTGATTATATCCAACTGCTATGCTACATTAGACTCTCCTCCCATTTTCATCCAGAAATGGAAATGGAAATCCAAAAGATTTTCAAACAAATTTTAAAGTACAGATAAGTGGTAAAAACAATTTATCGTTAAACTAAATATACGTACCAACAAATAATGATTCAATTCCCCTTTCCATTTACAACCACAAATGTTATTGGGACATTCGCAAACAACAATCTCATAACCATCAATTTCTAAAACACCAGGCTGTAGAATATTAAGAAGAAATACCAGTAAGGGATGAGGGCAAAACAATTGTCATCTCACGGGATCCAATTAATGGGGGAGGGGTGGTGTTACCCAGTACCCACCACCTCTGGAAGTGAAATCTTAGATTTTGTCCCCAAATATCTCCAAAACTAAAAGCCAAATCACAGAAATGAATGGACTGTCTGTCTATATGTATGCTAAAAAAACATTTGTGTATAGAAATTGCCACTGCAGACCCCCAGTATTGAGCACAGGTCTCTGAGGGGGGAGGGGGTATGTGGGGGGTCCCTATTTTGGATTTGATTGTTTTGACCTTGTCCATAAAAAGAAAGAATACCTTGTAAAACTGAGAAAGAAATACTAAGCTTTTAGAACATTGCACATTATTTTCGTAAGTTAAAATGAATATATATTCATTATAAATGACATATAAACGTAATAATAATTTTTTAATGCAATATTCTTAGGAAAAATTCAAGCATAACAGTGCATGGATAGTAGACGCAAATATCTATTTCACGAGTCAATCATATCGTGTTTAAGGCTAAAGGGCTCGATAAATAATTCACTTATCTCAGTTAAGGCGATAAATATCTGTCAATAAGAGCAATTAAGGCACGTTGTGAGTATAACTAGTATAACACGTAGCTTATAACAAAACAAAAGGGATTGAGTTTATTTTGAGTGCAGCACTGAGATGTTTGCTCAGTATTTAGAAATGTCATCAAATGTGGTGATGACTTTATGAAGTGTGTCTGGTAGTCTGCTATTAACACCATATCGCCTCTCAATAGATCGACTCTCATGCCACGTGTTGGTACTTATACTAACAGGGTTAAATTATAATAGAGATCTAGATAAAAAAAGGCACTTTCACCTCACAATAAGCCATAGCTGATACGTCGCTGATATGATACAACACCTAGCGCTCCTCAAGTGATTAGATCCGAACGATTGAATTGAGAAATACAGCAATTACTCAAAGCATTGTCAGTCGGTATGAATTACAATAAGAAACAAAGCACTTGAAGAAGCCATGAAGTGCTTTACATACCTTTAACAAAGAGCAGAAACATTCAAATGGCTTTCCCAGCGAAGCTTGAATAGCTCGTTTCGCTCTATTATTCTGCATCTTTAGAAATTGTAGAGCTTTTCAAATGTCTTATCTTAAGATTCGACTAATCTTTTTTTTTTTTAAAGTATGTTTTAAATGAATTAAAACCCTCTTTACGGCAAACAATGCCTAAAACTGAACCCTACTTTCTTTATGCAATAAAATGGAAGCTATATTAATAAAGGGACTTTCCCCTGTCCCTAAGTTCATTGCGTACCTACTATCAAGCAGGGTGTACAAATTATTGAAAGATTACGTAGGTATGTATTGAGCAGGGGGTATACGCGTATATAAATAAAGAATACCACCAAACTATTGATTTTTATTATTTTAGGAAGATAACTCGAGCTGTTGTTCGATATTGCAGTTCATTTTATTGCTTAGAAAACTAAATATTATAACGTAAATATTATGTTATCTTTCCTATAACATGCAGTTACTTATCCAAGAGACTAAAGCGTCTCGGCATGGCGAGTGTCATGGGTAATCGCTTTAGTATAAAAGCGATTAATCTGAGGGCGGGATACTTGTGGCAAACCTTAATTCGTATAGAAAACATATAAAATCCTGACATGCGAGAGCAATGAAGGAAATATTCATACATAAACATGACAAGTATCGAGACATAACAAAGAAAGTATACCGTGTTTGTGCACTGACACGTTTGAATTAATATTTAGGAAAAGGTCATAAAGCGTGATAGCCTGCTATTAACACCATATTAATTCAATAAACCCACACGCGTAGGCGATAACCAGGTTAAATACTCATGATAAAGCCGTTTTGCCTCGACAATGTGTTGACGAAAAGGCTGATACAATACCCTGATATCTAAAACAAAAAAAATCGGCGTTTACATTGCAATTGTTTACGACAACGTTATAAATCTAAAACAATTGAATTTATTAATACATTGATTGTTTAATAACTACCATTTGAATATATATAACGTTATAATTTACAATAGGAAAAAAGCCACTTAAAAAGCCATTGAAGTGCTTTTAAAAACATACCTTCAATAAAGAGCAGCTCCAGCACTCTAATGGTTTATATA